CTAGTCACTAATTAGGAAAAATATATAATTATATTCAGGGCCGGATCAGGTCAAGTACTGGAAGAATATTTCCACATAGGTTCCTGAATTTGTTCTAAAGGACACCAAAACAAAAGTCCGCCTAATTACTCAAAGTGTGCATAATACCCATCAGTCGTGTGCAAGAATGAATCTATCGTCAAATTTCCAATGAAAACTAATCGTACGTTGTGTGTGTGTACATTTATTTTAGGGTGGAGGGTTAGCCAACCCTAATCCCGATTCTTGCCCTTGTATTTAATTCTCATATAACACAATAAACCAATTTTACCCCGTGATGTAATAACTTATCAAATTCGTTTCTCTAACAGCTGTTTAGATTCAATGTGTGTGGTTTTGTTATATTTTCTTTCAGTAGGTAATGTACAACTTGAAACTTTGAAGCATGATAACTGTACTGAGTCACTCGTTTTGATAGAATTCATATGGTAACAGTTGTGACGTACTGACTCATTCATGAAAAAACTTGTGAATCCCTAGCCCATTTCATACCGGATATAACCGAGTTGCTCCGTTATTATCCGAATAACCTACCGAGTCACTTTATACTCCAGCCAATCAAACGCTGGTAGTCATCTGTACATAACAAAATGGCATACAGAAGTATCAGATTAAAACAAATTAAGAAATGCCCGCTACCTGCCCGCTACATGCCTGGGACTTTCTGTAGCTTTACCGTCGAAAAATATTTCAGGTTTGTTTTACTGCGTATTATACGAAAAATTCCTTTTATTGTTAAACGAAACTCTATTTATGAAATACGGTGTTATGGTAAAAAAAGGGATTAAATTTTTAACATCGACACCGTTTCCATTCTCGCATGTACATGTCCAGATATAAATATCTCTATAAAATCCAGAAAACAAGACAGGATGGTTTGATTCTAATATTAAATTCCGTCAATATCTGTGGCATCATCGCTGTTGAATTGGCATTTTTCAACTCGATAAACGAAGCTGAAGTAGTTGGAACAGTTTATGCTAATGCTGATACGTCCGCCTTGTTTTGACCACTAGTCTGGTCCCCTGCTTAGTATGCTCCCTGCGATACACTCCGCTATACTATATTAGGGAGAATACCAAGCAGGGGACCAGACTATTTGACAACCAGCTATTGATTGGATATTGCGATCATTTGAGCACCCGCCACGTGATCAAAATTCCGAGCAAATTACGAAGTTCGCCGAATTATCCATGTAATTGTCTATTGCCTGATGACACAAGTACTTGTAGATTTCATGGAAAAAGTAATTAAAGAAATCAAGTGGTACTCTTGAATGAAATCGCATTGTTCATAACATGAACGGCCGCTGACAGAGTGAAACAATTACACAATTTCGTGCCTTTAAAGTAAGAACAGTTCACTCTCATAATCAATGCTAGTTTAATTCGTGTATTTCTTTTTTTTTAATAAGCTATTTTTGTAGGATACACTTTGAAAAAAATTAATACATGCATGTCACAATGTTCCTGTGGGATCGTACATGTCCCATATAAATAAAATGGAGTTTGTTTTTAATCTCTTATCGAATTTTATATGTATTACTGCATTAATTAGTCTCTTTAAAATGGTTATTGGAAATAGTATGGAAATAAAAGAGAAGCTATGACAACTTGTTAACCAGCACACAAATCACATATATAAAATTTCATTAATTGAGAATGAACATTGAAGTTAACCGCTTGTTGCAGAACAGTATATGAATGTAAACAGTAGCAGGCAAATTTCTTGTGATGTACACTACATAATGGGTAGGTATGAAGATATCACAGGAGTCTGCAGTTTTATCAATAAACCATGTGAACGTGAGCCATGTGGGGAAGTAGCCCATTTGTACTAGCTTCTACTCTGCAGTAAATATGCGTTAGGGTCTAATAATGGTTCCGAACACGGCGCAGAATGTATTTTCTTTTAATACTAGGGAAATTTTATAATATTTTCTTCTTCACTATCATTTTCTGATATGAAATAAAAACTCAGTATAACAGATGATCTTACCAAGTGGCAATCTCTAGAAAATCTATCCAACACATTTTTAATCTTCCGGGTCCATCATCCGTCTAGGCTCGAGTTTTGAATATGTTGTCGTCATCAACCGTTATTTGTACTAACAGAACTTTAACTACACATTTCTGTTATGGAAATTGATACAAAAATTATAAAATGATGCAATGTAAAATAAAAAAAAAACAAGTTAAACATTTTACCTTGTAAAATTAATTTCATGACGTTATTTAGCCCGTGGTACAAATGGGCTATTTCCTCACTTGGTTCACATTCCCAGTGTTTGTGACCGTAATGGTGAAAATAAAGGTTAATTCGCCGGATTGGATTCATGCAATGGTCGTCCAAGAGTGATGAGAAGGTACGTTACTGTTTTTTTTTTAATGGATATGTGTAGTTTTTCAGTCTTAGTGCGATTCTGACGGGATGAAAGACGCGTGAGAAAATTCGAATCGAGTGGAGGGTTGTGGTCGAATTGCATTCCTTTATTATTGTATAATACCGTTAAGTTGATTTCATGTAGTCAGAAATTTCGTCGTGCTTTATTGATAAAACTGCAGACTCCTGTGAAGATATCGATGAAATTTAGTATCTCATTTTTTTCTACGTTACGAGCGCTTGTCTTTAGGTATCCCTAGCTAGGCTACTAATAAATATAACAAATGTTACCATTGTAAGAGTTTGTATGCTAAAGGTATGATAGATTTAACGGTACCAATTGTACAACCCCAGGTGGGAGGAGCTTAAGGTGTAGGGAACATTGCTGAGCGTTTTGGCAATATGTGAGATTATGATAATTTAAATCTAGATCACTTTTTGTATTTTTTAAGATTTTTTAAAAAATTTGTTACACATGACTGAAAATGTGTCCGGTGTAACTAGATAACTCTTACCCCTGTCTAGTTCCAGCAGAGTTATCTCTCTTAAACGCAATGGGATACCTGGTTATGTCCTTGTCAAATTGACAATCTAACATTGCTCTATGTGAAGGTGGATGACATGCTGAGGTAAGATAGAAAGTCTCTAACACGCACATACACAACAATATTTGCGTAAAATTTGAACTCTTTTGATTCATTACACAAGTTGTGTTCCCTTGCTATTTCTTCATCGATATATCTCTCTTCCGTATAAATTATATATATATATATATATATATATATATATATATATATATATATATATATATATATATATATATATATATATATATATATTTGAAAAAGTATACACAGCCTCATCCTCACTGTAGTGTTGGGGTCCCGAGTGGCCTAGTGGTCTAAAGCGCTGACCGTTACGGATCACTGCCATCTAACCTCTGTCTGCGTGAGTTCGAGTCCAGATTCGGCTAACGTGGGTAAGTGAGAAAGCCTGCCAGTAGCTTATCGTGGGTCGGTGGTTCTTCCCGGGGTTTTCCAGTGTTCTTCCTCCACCATCAATACTGGCCGCCATGTATAGCCTATCTTGTGCTAAAATAGGCATTAAACCCTACAACAACAACACTGTAGTGTTATTGATGTTTTACATGCCATTTTGCAGTTAGTGTTTTCTATCATACCTTAGTTATTATATAATAGATACATGTATACATATTGACTTACAATAAAATATATATTTAACGGAAGTAAATCCTCTTTATTTATTTATAAAATTTATTTCTTGTATTTATTTACATACTGTATGTGGATGCGTACATTAATTTGTTTTTGCCCAAGCTCCAACGACTTATTCAACATTTTAACACTGCTTGCATTTTAATTTATTACGGCAAGAAATAACTTGGGGGATATGTACGTTGGATTCAAATTTGAATACAAAATTAACAATCAATTATTTATAGATTATTCCATTTGTATGGCAAAATATGAACGAGTTTTTCGGATGGATATACTGCATGACCTTGGGAGTGTAGTATATCCTTCCGACAAAACGAGTTTATATTTTCCCATACAAATACAGTAACCTTTTTATTATTTGCTCATTTCTTATTCTTCCCAAGGCTTAAATATATAAACAAAAATACAATGAAAGAAACAAAGTAAGTAAACGTATTCCGTATTTCGAACTAAATACATAAGCGTTGATGGATCATTACACAACATTATTAATGAGCGCATAACTCCGCCCAGATAAATATGAAGTTGATCGCGCGCTAGACGTAAGTTTTGAAAGAAATTGTCGCTTTCTCTACTTAAAATTGAAATTTGGAGTAATATTGCTAAAGAATACGCCTTTCAACAACTTTTCAATTTGATCTGGAATGAATACGGTTTGGTGTTTTTGTCGATTCAAGCGTCTGTCAATTTAATGTTTTGAATTGTGCTGACATTAGCATGCGTGTTTCTTTTCTGTCATTGAATAATTCAGATCACAATATGGGAAAATTATGAAGCCTTTCCATTGCAATTATTGAAAAGATGCTATGAAATCTTAATGTTTATATCATTTTGAGTGCAGTAAGGAGGATATAACTACACTTGAAATGTACTCGAAATTACAGTATGTGGCCGTTCATGAAATAGTTCCTTTAGTTCATTCATAAAAAAAATGTTTACGTTAGAAAATAGTTTCCTTGTCCGCGGGATACAATATGAAGGTGTTCAATATCGGTGAATATTGCACGATTCTGAGAATGTCAAGTTAACGGAGAAAAAAAAAATGAGCATATAATAATAATCATTATTGAAAATTTAGTATACCACTCTATTGTATTGGATCCTTTGATATGATTTTTACACTGTCACTATGGAAAATAATAGCTAGCATAAATAGCTGCTGAGGTCACTTTTTTTTTTATCCCAGCTTGAGATTTAATATATTTCAAGGTCACGTCACTCGTCAACATCGTCCATATTAATACAACACCAATAATTTCATTGCTCAATCTTTTTATTAACTCGCCTCTATCTCTGCTTACCATATTGTTGTTGGAAAAACCACAGTTTTGAAATGCAATCGTTCCGGTGGCTTAGTGGTCAAAGCGTCCACCTTGTATGCGGGAGGTTGTGGGTTCGAATCGGAGCCGAGTCGTACAAAGATATGCAAAAAAGGCTGCCTCGCTAGGCGCTCAGAATTAAGATGTTAGTGTTAGGACTGGTTGTTCTGGTATTAAGATAATGTGACTTGGAAGGACATCATGCCACATGTCTTCGGCATGTTGCCCCAGTGCTAGACATCACTATAAACTTCCACACTGCAGACATCGTAGCGTTATGACTGCAAAGATTATTAAAGCTACGTTAAAAATCCAAATCACACACACATGCGTTTAAAAATGCTATTGACATCAAATTACTGCAAATAGTTAGCTGTTGTTTTTGTTTTTTTTTGTTTTTTTTTTGTTTCTATATCATGTTACAGTAAGGTATATAACCAGTAATTGATCGGCTACACTTTAGTCGGTAACCTGTCGCTAATAATGCCGTTTACTAGAGCAAGTAGTGACCACCTAGTCTTCTCTTTTATGTATTATTCACTAATACTTCAAGCCTTTACTCAGCCAAGTGATCAGGTGTCATACACGTCTTAAAAAAGACTGAATACAACAGATGTCAATAAAGTTTGCCACTGCCAAATTGTAAATCCTATTTTCCCATTGTGCGGTGCGCATACTTATTAAACATTAGTCAATAATTAGCGGATTAGTTATGAAGAACAATAAATAAATAGCATGTAGTCAGTTATGTTAAATTAAATATACATTAACATACTTGCAGACCGGGTCATATCAGCTGTAGGAGCCAAAGATTGTACAGCCTGAATATTTAGCTGTTACTTTTCACGGATTTATCAGCAATTACTTGAAGTGACTTGTGTACATATTCTGGTAAGTGTATCTCTTTTTCTAGAAGATACAAGCCATATTGTCAGCCTGAACACAGATTACAACCTTTTCCCCTGTCCATCTTCTTCCATCAAATATGACGCCACCGCCATCGTCACCACAGCGACAACAACCACCAACACAACTATTATTTAATTGGTTAAACGAGTTTAAAAATTGATGTTTGCATGTAAATCATATTGCAAATGCACTCTTAGTACAAAACTAAACAAAAAATACTATCTTTACATGTAATACCATTTTTGCCGGTTAAATTTGAAGAAATTTGTTTATTCGCTAAAACATTACCTAAAGAAACTTTTTTTAAATACAGCATTTATAACAATATTATTGGTCCCGACATTTTGTCTCACCTGCTTAGGATAATAAGAATTTGGGATACAATTGACCAAATAGCCTATCAAACTATTACGTTGACGTAGGTATTGATTGACTATTAAAACCGGTTATTTCATTGTTTTCTAACGACATAGTTATAGTTATATTTACTGAAAATTTAAATCAAATTACAACTATAACTAAGCAAGCTACAATCATTCTACAACGAATGAGGATTAAACTGTAATTGGAACTTAAAGCACGCGGTATTTTCTTGAAAAGTTGGTTAACTGCACAAGCACGATTTGTGTGGGTTGGGTAGTTGGGATGGAGTAAGGTTCATTTGATTCGCTTTATAAATATATTAGTTCTTTCAGAATTTTGTGGTTCCATATAAATCAACGTCTTGTCATGAAAAGCTTCAAAAACGCTTCAAATGTATTAGTTTAAATGCAGGGCAAATATTTAACGTTTGACAGGCTATCAACAGACAGGGTTCCTGGATGTTCGAGTGGTCTAAAGCACTAGCCTTTAGCAATCACCATAGTCTCTCTTGTTTTCGCGTAGGTTCAAGTCTGGAGCTCATTATCCGTGGGTATTTAAGAAAACTTACCAGTAGTTCGATTGTTCTTACCGAGATTTTCCCGGGTTCTTCTCCACAAGTTATACTGGCAATCATGTATAGCCTATCATGCGCTTAAACACACCTTGGAACCAAAAACAACACAATTATTAACATTCATATATTTTAAGATATCCAATAACAAGATATTGCCGATGTTAACCTCAGTGGCAGAAATATGGGGCATTAGTTATGGACTGATATTGAAATAGTTCGAACAGTCTAATAAATGCATGTAGTAATGCCCTGCAACATTTCATCGCTATTAAAATGTGCGAGAAGATCACAAATTTATGCTCCTTTGCACAAAATGTTAATTTTAAATTTTACAATCCAATATCTTACTGCTTCTTGTTCATTGCCATTGAAACCGATTCATGTGATTAGGTCCACATTATTTAACCATCAAAATCACGTGGCCTAACTAGCAGACGCATGATATACTATATAAAACATATGACAGGTTTTGTTTTCTTATACCACGGGGAGATATTCTGGAAAAATATTCCCTTCTATACTAATAAAATCCCTGGTTAGTCTCCTTATGTCAGTTTTGCCTTTCTTTTGAAGGTCTGTTATTTTTTTAAGTCACATCCTTATTCCTACATGACTTTCCTTAATAATCAAGCAAGCCACAAACGTTATGGAACCCGTGGATTATTAGCATTATTAATTCACGAAACTGAAGTGGTCCAAGCCAGCTACTAGAATCATACAAGATCGGGCCAAAGCGGCAACCGGCATAACCACCATGACGCTACTGCGGTAGAAATTTTAGTCGACTTTTATAGTCTGTAAATCCGCTGCAGTGTTCCTTATCTGCGTTCTAAGATGTCGGTGATTTTCATTTCCGCCAACACTGTTTCGAACTCGGCCATGCTTATATGATTGAAAAATAAATTAGAGCAAGACCAATGTCGCCAAACAAGCAATCAAACTAGCCACGACCGCCAGAAATGGTTGCAAATCCATGTGTTGTGTTCCAAGTAACAAAACGTCTTTATTGGTATTCTAACGTCCCCATTTTAATTTCGTCAAAGAGAGCAAACTAAGTAACACATTTGTCAACCAAAAGTGTTTATGGACAACAATATTGGGCCGAAACAAATTTTAGAAACAAATATAAACCAACACTCAAAACAACATCGTAAACACTTTTTTTTCTGTAGGGGTCCCTATGGCACGTAGAACAATATATGGCACGACCATAATAATTATAACGCTGGCAAAATCATATTATCCAAATGTATACCTCTTGGTGAGAAATTTCCATTCGAAATTTTCGAAGGGTTATTTCTTTTTCGAAGAGTTTATTTCCAAATGGCTGTATTGAATGCCAGATCCTTGTAAACCCAGCTAGGTTAGGGTTTTGTGTTACTCCCATCATCAACTGTCAATGAAACTTCTCAAAAGGTTTGTTTCTTACAAATTATTATAGCCTTATTTCGTCAAAGAGAGCAAACTAAGTAACACATTTGTCATCCAAAAGCGTTTATTTATGAACAAAAATATTGGGCCGAAACAAATTTTAGAAACAAACATAAGCGAACACTCAAAACAAGATCGTAAACACTTTTTTTCTGTAGGGGTCCCTATGGCACGTAGAACAATATATGGCACGACCATAATAATTATAACGCTGGCAAAGTAATATTATCCAAAGGTATACCTCTTGGTATACTGATCACTATTGATGTCATATTAACGGTTTATTATTTTCTTCTTCATTTAATGAAAGGTACATCATTATAAATCTTGTTTGAATCTATTGGCAGGGTTGTAAGAGCACTTTTGTCGATCTCAATGCTGGTATATTTTGGATCTGATTTGGTATTGGAAAATGAGTGAAATTTGAATCATACATTATATTACAGTATATTACAACATGTTGCTGCTGAGATAAGTAATTTTAAATGATGTTTCTTTAATATTCCAAGTTGTAAACCTTTGATGACACAATTTACGTAACAGATCACAGGGTCAAGGGTACGTCATCGCAAGTGTCCATTACAGGAGCTTCGTCATGATATAACGATCAAAACACGAATAATGTAGATATTTTAATGCTGTTAACCCAAGTATTCATTATCTGAGCTTCCCAGGCATATTTTTAACAATTGTATATATTACATAACATATCGCAAACATAAGACGCACCAACATGTTTATCAGTTTCTATTTGATTTGATTGATTGATGTAACATGTATTACAATCTTAAGTTCCTTGCACACAAATGATAATAATAATATATAACATTAATAATTACAACAACAGCAGCAGCAGCAAGAACAACAACAATAACACTACTACTACTAATACTACTACTACTACTACTACTACTACTTCTACTACTACTACTACTACTACTACTACTACTACTACTACTAATAATAATAATAATAATAATAATAATAATAATAATAATAATAATAATAATAATAGCGAAAGTAAAATCAGCAAATCGTTCGAAATGGTTCAAACTGTGGGCAAATATACTAACCACCACCCATGACCCCTTTCTGGTTTGATCGAACCTCCTACTTTTCCGCAAATAGTGCAACTTCTACCGTGTTATAAATGTTTGACAAATCAATGAATGTATTTTTTATATGATAAATGTTCGAAATTTTATCTCGTATAGCAAACCCCTTCAAATATGCAAGGCAGTTATATGTATATATGTTATACCCCATTCATTGAATCGATTCATAGGTTTGTAAGGAGAGTTTCTAGACTTTTTGAACACTGACTAAATATTACTGTTTAGACTTTGATGTACCAGTATTAGTGTCATCTGTAAAATACATCCAGGAATTACTTCCATTGATATAAAATATTAAATTATGTATAATAATGGTGTACCTCCATCAATAAGTAAACAGCGATTGACTGCGAAAAGCGATGTTTGACGCTTTTTTAATATAACAACACCAGCATACGATTTAAGAATTGCAAATTATTTTGATTGGTCTGGAAATGTATGATTAATTGTTAATATTAAACAAACACTTCTAACTTCCAAATTCTTTACATTTAGAAAAAGAAATTAGCAATATGTAAAAAAAAATTATATTTATCTGATTATTCATTTATATTTAAAAATGAACACACCGCTAATGAAATTGAAGTGAGATCTATTTAAAGACAGGCAAACAGTGATCGTTTGCACCAATCATTATATGGGGCAGACACTGAGCGGATATATTTAATTCAACAACTATCTCCTCGATATTATTATTAAAGGGTTCT